CAGCCCCATTTCACACCCCAAAAAATGATGGCCGCTACAGGAGTGTCAGGGAAGAGGCTTAGATGATAAAGGCCTATAATGAAAATCAGAAGCTCATGTGGCTCCGTCCTTTATGGCTAGAGCCCCTAGCGCACGCAATAGCGTGCGTAACCGCCTGGTTATAGAAAAATCTGGGCAAAGGTCTAGGGTACGGTACACGAGATCGAGGTAACCGCAAAAAAAAAACTTGTGAATTGGGAGATTTTCGCATCGCCTCCCTACAGCCGGCGAAAAGGACCGATTGACACCATGAGCAAAGTTATTTTTCGATTCAGAAGGGGCGTAGCATATGGTGAGAACACAAAGAACAGAAGATTCAGGATTTATCGAATTGAATAATGGACATCAACAAACAATTCGACATTCCTTAGGGCAATGATTCAGCATTCGCGGATTGGTGCAGAGTCCCAGTTTAATGTAAGAAACACAGCTGAAAAAGGAAGTTTACGTATAAAAACAAGTGTTTCTCAGATGGATTACCTAACCTTGGTTTTACTCGCACTGTACACCTGATGGTTTTAGTCGGAGCAGTCGAAGAAGGAGTTCTAGCGGACCACGGAGATCTGGTAGTAGACCTAGGTGATGGCTGAACTACACGAGAAGGCGACGGTCGAACTGTTCGAGAAGAAGGCTGAGGCTGCCTGCCGCTACCTGCCGGAACTGAATGAAGTGGCTTCGATTCACAGTGTATGTATCAAAAGTCGACTAGTTTACCGTGTTTGAAACGTAAAACCGTTTCAGATTTAAAAACTTTGTTCCACGTCATTATTGGAACTCGATTAGTGAATGAGCGAAATGTTTTTCCAGCCGCTTGAGGAGCACAGAATCTAAAGGAGTGTTATAAGAGCAGGAGTCAAATTACTTTATAAGTGCTTTGTTATCATGGGAATAAAGGGATAAAACTACGAGACCACCTGTAACCAGTGAGCTGCTGGTTTTTGTTCGTCTTGATTTCCACACCAGTATATACACAACCGTCAACAGCTTGGTGGCCTTTGAGACTGACAATTTCTACCACGATCTCAGTTCCTCTGGGAGACTGAAAAAGAGCACCTCTAAGCAATCACGATCAAGCTCAGTCTCAGCGCTGGTTTCTGAAATCTTTTGATTTTACAGGCTATTCAGACAGCGTTGTATCCAAAAGGAAGCCTTCGTTTTCAGACCATTCAACTGCCGGGAATGATGCACAGGCCCGAGACATCTTTAGGAATGATTAACGTACTTCGATCCAGTAATGGCACTTTTTGAAATCTTCCAGGGGCTGTCGNACACTATAATCTCCCAAAACATCAGTGAGAGTCTCCCACTCTTCCGTTGCGTCAATTTTGCGCCCGCACCCTTCATCAGGCTAAAAAGGTAGCTTGATCCTCACTTTCTCCTTGTTAAGAAATGTTCCCTTACTCTTTCAGTACACAGATCTCCAGCATATCCTCCAGGGCAGACACATTTAGAGCAGTCGTTTGGGTTGGGGAAACCGCCCATTTTACATCGCGCCGATCTTTTACCAGCACAGTTTTCTGAAATCGTTTAAATAGACGTGAGAGAATCAGGGTTCTTATAAACTTACTTTTGCATCCATAAAGCTCGTTGATCATTTGCAAATCGATGAAAGACATAAAGTGCGAACCAAGTGTCTCTTGATAGTCGGTATTGAATGGTACCATGGTCGGAACTCTTCGATCAATTCCGGCACTGCAAATAGCTGTTTTCAAGAGAAGAAAGATCCTTTAAAAGGTTTTTTTGAGAAAAAATGCTGCCCTGCATTGAATGAAGATATGTAGTTGTATGCACCAATATTGCAATTACAAAGCTACTCGGAAGTATTTAGAGGGGGTTGGACCCTGTCTAGGCCATGTGCTTTATGCCGTAGAAATAGTTCAAAAATATCTTATTCTTCCGTGTGTTGCTTTCTAACCCTGGTTTCTTTTTATGAACTTTGCTGCAGATGAATATGGTGCGTATCGCAGCAGATGGATGTTCCACGATAGCGCATCGTCTTTCCAACCTTTTCTTGCAAAGGGTGATCGGATAGTGGCAGTACATGTAATAGATAAAAAAGCAGTTCTAAAGGCTTTTTAAAGAGTAAGGTAAAGAATTCGGCTAACCTTCTTCCACCGTAATGCATGATGCTACCGTAATCGTAGGTCAGGTTAAAGTTGTCGTTTGTCCGTGGTGTCTGTTTCGCGAACTGGCTAAGCCAGGACTGCTGAAAGCGAATGCTCTGCGTATTTTCTTCGATACATTTTGAACAGCTTCCCACTCTTACCTTAATGTTGCCAAGATTTAAGGTTATGAACTGGTCGCGGTCGTATCTTGCCATGGTGTGCCAAAACCCGATAGTATGGCCAATCTCATGAGCCACAATTGGGCCCACACCACATCCTTCTCCTAGAGAGATTTTCTGTTCTCCTCCTGTTTTTCCTAGGCTCGACCAACATCCCTCTTCATATACTACTTTGACACGATCCTTAGCTGAAAATTACGTGCTCTCATAAGAAATGAGAAGAGTTTCCAATCCACACCTTGTCTCAGTGGTATTTAAATGTGCATTCATCCTAACACCAAACTATTTCTGAAGAATAGAAAAGTTCGTTTTCTTGAACCTCGTATGGCGCGAGTATCAGCGTGCCCTCTTAGCCCCCTACCCGTTTTCCTTTTTTTGTATTTCGGTTTTCTAAACCTACGCTGAGCAATGGCACTCCAATCTAATCATTGATTGCCCTCAGCAGTGGTGGTAGGTGCGAACATAAGGTTCAGTTTCAGCAGCTTCCGCAGAAATGTTCCATTGTAGGACATTTCATCGTTTGATACTTTTTTGAGAAATGAAGAGACGTAAATGAGTCATAAGGCTTCGACAATTGATCAGACCTGCGTTGTAGAAATGGAAACGTTGGACCTCACAATCGAAATGAAGTTACACACCCTCGCAATCGAAATGAAGTTACACACATTATGGCTCTTACCGTAGGGATTATGTTTGAAGTTAATACAAGAATATTTGCTCCACATATCTGCTCCCATAACGAAGGCCCTTTTCGTTTTCGAATCTGTAATATACACGTTTGCCAGCCCAGCATCAACGTTTTCCTTCTATTAAAAAAGCCTTCCATCTCACCGATGGAGGGGCTGAAATGATAGTTCACTCCGTCTTTCCACAATTGTACTCCATTCGGATCTGCAAGTGCTTGACGCTTTGTACGGTTAGAGCCTCCTATTTGTTCGTTGATATCATTGATGACGACTTGAGCTTGTGTCCTTGAAACATATGCCTTTTGATTACTCAGTAGATTGGTTCAATTGTCAACGCCTACTCTGTGAGGACGATGTCGCTCTGGAAAAGCTGGTCATCGACATTGCTCTTTTCGTTGACTTCGTACAGGGAATCTCCATTAGGGTTGATCCGATCATACTTGATGTCTGGTAGCTCCTGAAAATCAATCACGCAGTATTAGGAGGAGAATGTAAGCAATACACAGTCCTTCACATTAACCTGGAGCAATGATTCGATTTTTCCGTTATTGACGTCCAAAGTCTTGAGTACATCATCGTGCTTGCGTTTGATCATATCACTGATCTTTGAGACCTTTTCGCTTAAGGGCTGCAACAACAAAGAAGTGCTCTCTATGGAAATCTATCATATGGCTAAAAGCGTGTTAAAAGAATCTTCTTACACCGTCCGTAATGGAGATGTCTCCATTGACCGCAGCAACCAGAAGCAAGAGGAGCAACTTAAATCTCATCCTGGAATTCAAATCTATCTGAAAAAAACATGAAACGAAGACAGCAGTCATTTCGACTGGGCTAGATGCACAAGATTTACATGATCAGGTCAGCTGAGCCAAGGTTACCCTTTCGAAGCACGATGCGTTTCCCACACTGTTCACCAAATATTGAACAACAAGCCATCTAAAGAGAGGAGGAGGTCTGGACAATGTTACCATGCCTGAAGCTTCCTTCGGCTTGAATGTCACAAGGTCTCAATACAATGGAAATATCGCAGTCGCAACTTCAATTAAGCAAGGGCTACATGTTTGAAATGATGTTGAGATTGCGAGAAAGGTGTTATGGAGCACACACCACAGCAGAAAAGTTTCTACACTCAACAAAAAGCTGTTTCCAATGGATATCCACTCAAAACATCCCGCACTTCTTCAGTTCATCTGAATCTCACTCACGTTGAGCAGTCATGCAGAATCCGTTTCAGAACTCGACGGCTAAATCCTACGTATCCTATCTTTTCAACTGGGAGTGCTCTAAAGAAGTGTTTTGTGGAGCTCAAGCAAGAAGGTTTTCTCTACTATATAGTACTTGGGAAGTGTATCAAAAAGAGTAAGTATACGGTGTCAGTATTAAGTGGCATTTCAAGCTAATGAGAAAGGAGGGTAAGTTATGAGATTCTTTTTTATGAGAAAATCTGAAATGGGAACATGTAACATTGCCGCTCAATTCACTTTTATACAGGCTGCATATAAGTCTATGATGTACAATGTTTGGTCTGTAAAGGCTGAGGAAACATGGACCACCTCGTTTTTTAAGGAAGATAGACTTGTTCGGTTGATACACTTGGCGAGGTTCCTGTTAGACGTCATTCTCTCTCGATATCAAGTCTTGTCTCTCACCATTTACATGCAAGTAGATCAACCATTACGACTAGTAGTATAGCCCAATGGCTCGCCAACAACAATTACAAGAATCATGAGCACATGTGTCAGGCGCAATCCTCCAGTATTCGCTTCTCTGGATTCACTGTGTGTTTTCCCTGACAAACTCACCCCAATCAAACTTCTATGTGGCCCTTGAAGAGAATTTCGATCTAGCTGATAAGCAGCAATGTTTAATGGTGGGCTATCTGCTATCCGATCACTATAGTATAGGGTTTGTTTTGGAATTCTGATAAAGGGTAGGGGCTTATACAAGCAGATGTCTGTCTGAAGATAAGGACGGAGAAGGTGATAAACAAGATCAGCAGAGGAAACGCTCTATCAAGAAAGTAGCTAGCTTCTCATAGGGGTGAAATTCGTGCAGCGATTCTCAGTTATAATTTTCTTGTTTCGTTTCCTTGCGAGCGTAGGTGTGTCTGTAAGTGCAATTTCGAAACTTTAGGTATCGCTGTAATCAGGATAGTAAAAAGAAATTCATACCTTCAAGTTCTTTTTCCATTTAGCGTGAGGAAATCCAGTAAAGGCATCTACTACTCATCTAGTAAGCACTGGAGTTAGGTTTCACTGTCGTTCGTCATCTGTCTTGCTTTTGCAGGGTACTCACTCGATACTATTCAGGAACTTGGACTAGTTTCAGTTGTCACGACTTACGTGCGACCTTGGCGTCCGCTGAGTACTGGGAAGAAGCGCACTCCATTGGACGGCAGCCGCCTTGCGCAACATTCGAATGAAGCAAGGTGATAGGAAAGCGGGAAAGATATCGAGCGAGCCCGCGCCAATCAATCCATTAGTCGACGCGTCTGTCTCGTCGGAGTGTACTGTCAGTTTCGTCGCGGTTCGGACCCACACGAGAATCCTACTACATAGCTTTGTTACCAAGGGGTCATCTATACGTGCGAGAGATTTTAGAGACGGAAATATGTGACACGTCAATGTATCGGTTGGAAAAACCTATTTTTATCCATCTGTTGTTCTGAATGCAAACTGGATGCAGCGCGCTATCATGATTGAGGCGACTCAAATGGTTTACCCGCTTGTTTATAATAACCTCCAAGTTCTTCTTCTATCTAGCTGTGAGGGAGGCGA